ATACTAAGCGAGGTCACGTGACTAGTATCACGCCACTTCTTTCTTGAACCTTCCCGAGATTACTAGATTGGCGGTAGTCGGGTATATACAAGATGGTGACAACTTAATGGGACAATGTGTAGGTAGTGAGTAATTGATTTGCAGTCAGGGAGTATTGTTGAAGTTAACGTTCGTTTTAGTGCGTATGTTGAAATTAAGTGTATCGTAAAGTTACATTCAGAAAGAATAAACCAGTTTTATTTAAGGAAGGACTTGTGTCGCTAAAGTTTAGTTGGAAAGAATTTACGGAAAAATTAATTAACAAACGGAGACGTAACAGTATATATATACATACACACACACACACATATATATATAAATGTATAATGCTATAAGATTTAAGCTATTTAGTCTAAACATTTATGTTTTCGTGTTACAATTTGTTGTCATTCTAGAATGAAAGAGGCATACTTTATATTTATTACCTAATTTTTCTATGGTAATTACTAGATCAGTCAAATCTATTGAATCTGTACAGATTCGTTACAGAAAATAATGGATAAAATAGTTTTTCTTAAGAAACATTTGATAACAAAATTTTGCATGTGAAATTTGAAAATTTTCTGATGCATAAAAGTATTTCTAATCTTAAAAAGAAAATTGCTTTGCATGTTGGATAGGCAACATGTGAAAAGAAAAAAAAGGCATGAGAAAAACATTGCTTTACAAACCTTAAGACTTAATAGAAAAAAAATTAATATTTTGTGTATGAAAGCACTGTAATGTTTATTGATGACCTGACAAATTTTAACATATGCTTACTGATTTAAAAGTTATAGCATGAAAACTATAACAAGCACAAAATGGTTACAAGGTCAGTCCCAGGGACTGAGCCTGTGCTAAAAGAGTTAAACATTTTATTGAAACACAAGACAAAATTTAAAACCTTAAAAAAGTTAAAACCAACTGATAAAACCTATCAACCTGCCATATGTTAATACTATCTAGTAACTTCTACAAAACCTTTCACACTAAATTTTAGTGGTCTACAGAAACTACAACATATTAAACATTACAATATTGTTAAAGTACTCAACAATTAACAAACTTGTATGCCAACACAAAACATTCAGTAACTTGTATCAGTAGTTTTAGATGACCAACAAGTGTTTCTATAGTTGTTATCAATATATCAGTGCAATTCGCACTTTACTAAAACAACAATGCATTATAAAGGTGCAACTTGTAATTCAGGAAACAAAACTTAAAAAAACAACATCCAGAACCAAAGTATACATTTGATGTATATTGCCATGAAGGCATGATTTATTCTTCCAATCATATACTAAGACTATTATGTATCCTAGTAACCACTCAAAGATCCCCCCCCCCCTCTTCCATCAATTCCCATATCATTTAGAGCATACTGATGTACATGAAATGTTTCAACACTATAATAAATATTCTGATGCATCATTTTTTAAGTTGTACAGCACAGGGTCAAACTGTGCATATCATTAATAAACTTTGCATCAAAACAGGTTATAAATCAAATTTTAGTATTATATACGTTTTGATTTCCCAATTTCAAAATTATATAACAAAATAAATTCTTAATATTCACTTATGTACAATATTACACTTCTTAGCTCCAAATTGCCTGTTTCATATTTTCTTTCTGACCCTATACAATCAGTTTGGCACAAAGTACACTTTTAATATAAACATTGCCAAGCCATAATATTAACTTATAGCTTCCAATCTTCTTGCTTTACTAATATAAACAATACAAATCAAACCCACATGCCACTCCCCTCCTATCATATCATTTCTTTCAAAAAATGTCTTTCTCCCCAACATTTTCTTTTGGAATAGATTATTTATAACAATAGAAACAGAAGATTCCACTTTGAATTCCTATGAGATTAACTTATTCAAGATGAAAGGTTTTGAAATATTAGGTCGTCAAGAAATTAATGTTGCTTTTTTTAGATGAGAAAACACGAATAACTTAAAAATCAAAACAAATATTTTATTAAACGAAAATTTCCATTCTTATCAATGATGCCTTTCCCCATCTTACAATCAGGTTGTTAATGCCCTGATTAAAGAAATCACTTGGCTTTGAAACAAAAAAACA